CATTAAGGGGAGGAAGGTCTAACCTGTTCCTTGCACTTCTTATGAGACAGAGCAATGACCCCCTTCCCAAGACTCACCATTTTACAACCGTCCCATTTTTCTGCTTCAAAAAATTGTCCTTTAGAAGCAGAGGATGCCCGTTTGCCCTTTGCTTTGCTATATATTTATGCATGTTCTAAAGATGTCAGCCAATGTGCCTAGGAGTTATATTCCTAAAGATACCACTTCAGGATTAAATATACTGTCTTGCTCAGGTCAAATCAAAGCTTGCATTGTCTTGTGTCTTGCTATCAGAACATAGGGAAATTTTTCTTAGTCACCCTTTGCCCTCCACCAGCCACTACATGGCTGTGATTTGATTTGGGCAAGGCAGTATATATTTAATCCCACCATTCAGACAGTAACTGTTATGCACATTGTCTGACAACTTTAGCGCATGCATAAATATAAGGCAGCCAAAAGGGCAAACTTTTCTAACCAAGAAAATAGGTGAGGGAAGGTGCAGGGAAATGGTGATTCTCTAGGGCAGGGGTTCCCAACCTGTGCTCTGAGGAGCCCTTAGGGCTGAGCATGCACTTCCCAGGTGGTCCACGGCCACTCCAGCAAAATGAAAGAAGTAAAAATTGAATGAAATTAAAGAATAAGAATGTATTCTTATATATACTCCTAAACAACATTAACTTGTAAGACATAGGGTAGGCCATTTAGGGACTCCGCCATAGAAATAAGAGCTCAGTGAGTTATAAAGATTGGGAACCTCTGCTCTAGTGGGTGGGAGAAGAAATAATATTTTCCTGAATAAGGGTATTTAACAAAACACAATCCTTATTACAATGGGGTGAGCAATGGCTTCTCATTAAGATGAGGTCTTTGGTTAAGAATGCCCTTGTTGGGGTTTCTCAGCACTTGAGAAATTCCTTTATCTTTTTTTTTTTTTTAAATCTTATCAATTTTTTTGCATCTTTGTTGTTGTGTGCCTTTAAGTCATTTCAGACTATCATTGGGTTTTCTGGGGGTGAAAATGTGTGACTCACCTAAGAGCAACCAGTGAGTTTCCATGGCTGAGCAGGGAATCAAACCCTGGTCTCCAGAGTCATACAGCCTGAACAGACAGGCAGCTTCAGCTGGCTTCCAGCCTGCTTGGGGGCATGACATTTACACATGCCATGCCACCAAGAAAGACAGAAGCCCGGCCAGTGATTACACACCAGCTGGCTTCGTTCCCACTTGGGGGCATGGCACTTAGACACCACTTTCCCCAGTGCTGGCTTTTTTGAAGGAAAAGCTGGCTCTTTGGGAGAAGGGGTGGCCTTTTTCTGCCCCAAAAAGAGGCACATCTTATCCACTCCTTTTTTTGGGTGGAATCTGGCTGGATTGGGGGCAGGCGTTTGCCCTGGCCTATTTATCTACTTGCATTTGCATGCCTTCGAACTGCATACCTCTTCATTATTTCAGGGCATAGTCTGAAACAATCTGCTGAAGTTAAGAAGGTCTAGGTTAGGCCAGTGCATATTAGGAAATGTGTCACCTGTTATATCGCTGCACATCAGGCTGCTCTTAGTGGTATAAGAGCAAAGGCAGTAAAATGTTGGTGACCCTACCTGTATGTTTCCCTGAAATATTAAAAGGCCAGAGGGGGAAATATGTATCTGAATGCTCACTCATTCATAGCAAAGTAATTTGAGCCTACCTTTAAGTAAAGCACAGACATTTCAGAAAGACTAGAACATGATAGGAAAACTACCACACGCAGAGTGACCCCTCTTTGATGAAATGCACCAGCACATTATAATTCAGTGAAAAGAACCAAGTTTGAAAGTTCTGTGTCATATTATCTTCAGAACTAGGCAATTACACTCTCAGAGTACAGTGTGATCTCAAAAAACCCTATGAGACCTACAATTGATCTCTACATTTATATGGAGCTACAGAAAAGTAAAGCAGCAATGATGTAATTATCATCACCTATATATTAACAGGACAGACTGGTGATGAGTTGATGATGGCAATGGAATTGAAAAATGTGTACTAAGAAACAAAAGGAGCATTAACACCTTGGGAAGCATTTCTATTTTGGTCTGCAGAAGTGAAATAATAATAATAATAATAATAATAATAATAATAATAGAAAGATGCCCCTAAATCAAGCCAAATGAGGGCTCAACATATCCACAGTATGCAGAGTCTGCATACTGAAAGAATAAATAAATTAGTCAGATAGAACATATAGCAAGATTGCTCCACAATGCAACATTCCGCTACGAGTCCCACTTATATGGATCTATCTTAAACACGCTGCTTCAGAAGGGGCCCATATTAATTCATTAAAATTAGTCATGATTTAGACTGAGCCTCAAGATACAACCTCAAAAATCTACTTTTCCGTTACCCTTTCACAGCTTCCCATTAAAGTGCGGAAGACTAGGAGGGTTGGCTTCCCCAAAGATCTTATCCTTAAGGCTTGGGTACTACCACAGAGATGTTTAGACATATCTGCTAACACTGGAATGCATAGGAAATGAAGTTCCCTATGCTTTTTGGTGTCACGAGATGTATCCATAAAGATCAGGTAT